TTAGATAACATGGGTCTCCTTCACTAATGTATGACCAGCTGGAAGGATTACATTTTAATATTTGACCTATTTCTTCCCCTTGCTCTGTTATAAATACTTGCCCACTTCACAGGTTCTTGAAAACAAAAGTAACAATCCCTAGTCACTGGGCAATTCTCTAGGAATACATAGGACGGTGGAAATGCTGATAGTAGTGGGTAAGAATCCATCCTTCAGTTGGCTTTTCAGGCCTCCCTCAATGCCCCTTCCTCTGCCTGGCGACTCCAGTCAGAGTTGTAAGAGTACATCCTATTGTTTCTGGAGTTTTCCAAAAGGCCCTTGGCCAGTAACCAATTATTCAATTTAAATATATTGTTTTTTCCTCCAACCAAGGGAAACAGTACAAGTTGGGGGTGGGGTCCGACTTTTCACTACTACCCTGTTTCCCCGAAAATAAGACAGTGTCTTTTATTAATTTTTTCCCCCAAAGATGCGCTAGATCCTATTTTCGGAGGATGTCTTATTTTCGAGGAAACACGGTAACTGCCAGAAGTCCAATGCTGTTTTCCTTTTTAGTCCTAGATTCCAGGACAACAGCCTGGGGCCAAAAGAGCTACCCACCTGTTGGGATGAGGTAGGCAGTCCACAGAATGATAACATCAATTGCTTTTTAAACTAGCATTCCCTGCTCCAGGTATTCCAGTGAGGCCATCAGCCCTAAGGCACTCCACAAGGTCCTGTTACTCATGACAGCCAGAGTATGCCATCCCCCTAAGAGACACAGTGATTAGTCCAGCGATGAGTATGTGACCCAAGCTTCAAAAGAAAAAAATATTTTTTTACTTTAGGGGCTGGAATTGTGTCTTAGTGGTTTTTAAGGGCAGAAAAAGAGTTGCCATCTGTATCTCTCAGTATATTCCAGAATCTTCCACTCTTCAGCCCAGTAGGAGGCTGGCTGGGGCTGCTGGGCCAGACAAAAAGGGACCAGCAGGAACGCATACCAAGACTAAGAACTCAGGTTAGGCATGACTAAAGTGGAGAACTCCAGCCCTTAGAAGACTTTAGGCTCAAAAAAATGTGGGAGAATCTAAGCAGCTACTGGTTGATGAAATCAGAGCCAGAGAGCCAGAGAGCTGACTAGAGAAAGATGTAAATGTGAAGTTCAACACTGAGGATTTCAAAGCAGAGCCCAAGCAGACAGCATGCTGGGATGGGTTCGCAACTATCAGGCCTGGAACCTCCCTAGAGTCAGGAAGTTGGAGGAGGAAACCTTGTACCATAGCAACTGCAAAGAGCCAGGCATTGCAGAAATTATGAAGATTGTGAAGGAGGCTCACCCAGACCACACACAGTTTGAGAAAAGCAATCCCTATTATGATCCCTCCAGCAAAAACCACCACCACAAATGGTCCATGGTCGATGAACAGTTTGCTCCAGTGATGAAGTGTTTCATTCCCCTGGCTGAGTTCAAAACCCGTCACCAAGCTCACAAAGCCACTGAGGGCCCTTTGGAAAATATGGTGCTCTACTCAGCCAGTGTGGACCAATGGCTGAGTGTCAGCCTATGAACCAGGAGGTCATGATTCGATTCCCCATTAACACACCAAGTTATGGGTTCGATCCCCAGTGTGGGGCATGCAGGAGGCAGCCAATCAATGATTCTACCTCATCATTGATGTTTCTGATGTTTCTATCTCCTTTTCCCTCTCCCTCCCTGTCTGAAATCAAATGTAAACACACACACACACACACACACACACACACACACACATTGCTCTTCACTCTTCTGACTCTCTCAGTTCCACCCCTGTCCCAAGAGGAGTTAGTTTAATTTTTATTTTGAGCCTGGAGGAAAAGGAACCAAATTAACTGAGATACTTGCTGGAACCGGCAAGGTAATACTCCAAAGAAATGAAGTTTTTATAAGACAATAGGAGGTGGGAGGAGGCTTGCTTGTTAGTTCAAGTGAACATAACACAGGTGGGTTTTCTGTACTTTTCAATAAAACACTATTATAAACACACACACACACACGCAACTTTATAGGTTAAGGCAGTGGTCGGCAAACTATGGACTGCTAGCTGTATGTGGCTCGCAAGCCAGTTTGCCGACCACTGGGTTAAGGCATGTATGTGAAGAATTTCTTGTGCTTTAGAGAACACATCTACCAATTTTGGTCTTAGGGGGGGGGGGGAAGGAGACCTTAATAAGGGGAAAAAAAGGAGAGCAATAGGAGCTAACCATTTAAAGCATGAAGACTTAAATCTTACAGGAACTTTACGGTAAGTCTAGTGTAAGGCCCTAGTTTTAAATGGGGGAAACCAAAGCTGGGAGGGAAAAGAGGCTTGCTAGAGAGAATTCTTGCTGGGGTTCAAGTTTGGCAGCAAAGAGTAGGATTAATGAATGCGCATCACACAAGTATCTGGCCCTATCAAGTTCATGCTTATTTAATTCTCAATCTGGGAGGTATATATTTTTGCTCTACCTAATAGCTGATGAAATTGAGACCAGAAAGGATAAATGACCCATGTCACACAGCTAACATGGAACAGAGCTGAACTTCATATACACACCTAAATCCTTATTTCCTATTTCACTTTTAGATTAAAAAAATAATTGAGGCAGGACATAGGAATGGGACTTAGGAGTGATGTCAATCCTTCATAAATATGATGTCAGTGCTTGAGAGCATCTAGGAAAAGTCAAGGAGAGGACTTCAATAAAGGGCAAAACCTAGTTTAAATTACTAAATGAACCTTCATATCTCAGCTGCCTTCTAAAAATTTAGGAAGTTGATATAGATGGTCTCAAAATATTTATTTGCAAGATAGAATAGGCAAAAGGAGTTGAGTAGTATGTGGCCCAGAATCCTAGAGGTCTAAACTCCTTTCCCACTTCCCTACCCTGACAATTCCCTTCCCTGAGGTTTGGGTAAAGCAGCTGCGACAGGGGAACTCTTGGGCATTTGAATGTGTCACTGATTTTATGAGTCATTTAACAACTGCCTGTATAATGCTCACCTACTGGCCCCTCCCTGAGTCAGAAGCATGAGAACCCTCATCATTAGGTGACTCTAAAACCCAAAGCCCATTCTCTGGTAGTAGAGTTTGACTGTTTGCTTTAAAAAAAAAAACCTCCAATTCAGAGTCTAATGGACTTCGAGAGCCCTTTTCTCGAGCTCTGACTTAAGATCTGTTATTAACTGTTCAAGATCTGTTCGCCATGCTCTCATAGAAAGCATTCACTTGCTCAGTTTCAGGTTCCAGTTCAGCTCTGGCTGTCACATCGTATCTACTTACCTTTACAGCAACAGAACTCCATAAATTTGCCTTCTTAGCTAGAGTTAAAGTAGCCATCCATATTAAACAGCTTTATTTTAAAAGAACTGTTGCCTTGCCTGCCTAAGATGAGGCCAAGATTAAAAGAGGATACTCCCTAATGGAAGAAATACTACAATGTGGCATCACAAATGTGATTTACATGTTTTTGGTCAATGATAAATCTGAATCACATAAGCAAAGAAAGATAATTTTTTCGGGTAATAATGTCAACAATAGTCCACCTGGGAGAGGGCATGGCATGGGGCTTATCTACCTCAATACCTCACATCCTTTTCTGGCCCCTCCAAGTCATTATTTACATTTGTTCTTCTAAAAGAGCTATTATTCAAGGTCACTGAGTAGCCTGGCTGAACAAAGAATGTAAGTGTGGTCACTCTTCCAAATTTTCCTTCATTACATCTCACATATTGTTACACAATCTGTGGTACTATACCCACGCTCACTAAGAAACCACTGTAGAATCTTGTTTATTTGTGAAAGAAAGTAAGGTCAAATGTGGTCTCTATGGATTGAAGTTTTCTCTCTTCAGAGAGAAGTTATTGTTAGGGTGGGTTTTTTGTTTGTGTGTGTGTTGTTTTGTCCCAATAAACTCAAGAACCAAAATAATTAGATCCCCAAGCAGATCAACATTTAATCAAGAAACATTAGACTTCCCTTTAATTAATCCAAATTTGATCCAACTGTTCTATCCAAATTCGTTCTAAGGGGAAAATGACGCTATGAGATTCAATGAAACTTTTTCATTAAACAACTATCTTTTCATGTATCAGAAATTACTTTGTGACTGTTGGCTAAACTGTTAGTTTCAACTACCTAGGAGAGATGCCCCAAACAAATAAACTTTATTTTCAAACAGATTCAAGCAGGCCAGCAAGGCTTGCTCACTGAGCTGTGATGAACGAATGGCTGAGGATTTCCTCACCATCCAGGAGCCCCCGACAGAAGAAAGCCCCATCCCTCCATCTACTCACCTAGCCTGTTTGCTCAGTGAAGGAAAACTTACGAGATAGACTTTCTGAGAAGACAGTATTTGGGTGGTTTGGGGTAGAAAAATAGGAAAGGTATAGAAGAAACTAAGCCTCCCCATGAAGAAGGGAAAGAGAAAGAATATTACAGAACAGATTAAGATCAGAGAACAAATACAGCATAGGAAATATAATCAGTAACATTGTAGTAACTGATGGTGCCAGCTGAGTACTGGAAATATCAGAGGGAACACTGTGTAAAGTATATGATTGTCTAACCACTATGGTGTACGCCTGAAAGTAATATAAAATAATATTGAAAGTAAACTGTTATTGAAAAAAAAATTTTTTTTTAATTAAAAAAGATCAGAGAATTTAGACCAATTAATGCCTTCAGGATAAACAAGAGAACCCCTCTGGCTGCTCTGAAGAAAGGGTACCTCGTGCCTCCCGGAGGGAGGATAAATATAAGGAACAGAAACATATTATCTTCCCTCTACTTCCATATCCTGCATTAGATCAGTTTGCTCCCGTTAGAGCTGATGTGGGTCCTGGAGATGGTGGTCAGGCCTATCCCAGCCACCCTCGCCAACCAGAGAACACATCCATGACAAATCCAAACTCCTAATTCCTGACCTATTTTGAGTCACCCCACATTTTGCCACTCAAGAATAGAACAAACTTTGTTAAAAAAAAAAAAAAAAAAAAAAAAAAAAAAAAAAAAAAGCCTGTATTTTTCATTTAAGAAATAAAGGTTCACAAGCAATCCAGAACAGGTGCCAGAAGTTTGCTCGAAACAATCACCATACTTGCTGCAGAAGTTCAGGTTCCACAGAATCACTCTGGCCAGTGCTTCCTGAGATGCTCTTTCAGCTGAGGAATGGAAGGCAGCAGCTGCTGGCACTCATGACAGCGCAGGGGCAGCTTCAAGAGCTCAGGCATACCATCTCGGACAGTCACTCTGCCCGCCTCTTGTATCATCTTGATCACAGCTGCAAGCAAGGAAAAACAGTTCAGAGCCTAGCTGCTCTGGAAAGCCAATACAAAGGGGAAAAAAAAAATCTGACCCCAAATAAATATATGCCAGGTCAAAATCTCAATATGAGCAAACTATTTTGGTATTACATTCCGTTGAGATACATTCTAAGCAACCCCTGTTACTATGTCAGAGCCTTATCACAGTGCTTTACCACTGACTGACATTGGGTTGATGGCAGCTGTCACTGTTAATCCCCCAGTTTACTGAACTTCCACAGAATATTCACTGGGAATTGTTACTCTGCACACATGCCCTTCCACTATTAATTAACCACTCCTATGCTCCTGCTCAGCTGATGGCAGAAGAGACATAGAACTGTACAGAGCTTTCATATCTATGAACTCCAATAATTATCAGAACAATTTTTAAGTATATTTAGTTAATATAATAAAACATCTTTATTATAATAAAACATCTTTCTCACCCTGATATAACAGCTTTCTAGGTCCCCAAAGATGGCTGCTCACAGCAAAGTGACAATCCCACTATAATTCAAATGATCCAGTTTCTTTTAGTGGGACCCTCTTTATAGGGAACATAAAGTTAAATATGGGTTTTTGAGACCAGATTATTATTTAGGGAAATAACCAAGTCAAATATAAGAATAGCTGAGAAAATGAAACAAATGTGAAAACCAAAGAATACTGTTTACCTTGAGATTCTAGGAAGTATTCTGTATTAAAAGAATTCCAATGTTTTTTGTTTTTAAGGCACGGAGAATCAAAATCCTGGCTGATCACATGAAGGTGTACATGGCTAGTTGAGAAGGAGAGAAATAGATGATTAAATCCATGAAAGACTAACTTAAATTAAAAGGACAAACAGTAAAAGTATGGGTGTGTAAAATATTGACTGTTTCCATTTAATTCAATTCATTCATTCATTTAAGAATATTTAATGCTCATTATCTACCTACTAGGGCCACACACTGTTCTAGCACTGGGAATTTAGCAGTGAGCAAAATGGGAAAGACCTCTGTCCTTATAGAAATTATATTATCATGAGGGGAGACAAATAAAGTATAAGTAAACCAATCAACAAGGAGAATTCAAATAATTAACATTGCTTAAAAAATAATAAAACAGAGAAATGTGATAGAGAGTGCTGAGGGGATAAAGGTTGCCTTTTTAACTAGCTTAGAGTGCTCAGGGAAGGATTCTTCCAGGCAGTGATTTGAGTGAGAAAGCAGTCAGGCAAGCAAAGAATCTTTGGGGAAAGAGTATTTCAGAGAGCAGGGAGGCTAAGCGCAAAAGGCCCTGCGATGAGAAAGAGCTTGATACAACCAAGGAACAGAAAGGTAATATGGCCAGAATGACTAGAGCCTTGGTGCAAAGATTAGGTAGGAGCCCAGAGGTTTGCACTACATTCTGATTATATGGAGGAGCCATTACGGATTTTAAGTAGAGGAGTGCTATTATCTGAGTTATACTTTTTAAAGATGATTCTTGCTACTGGGAGAAAGGACTATGAATGGGTAAGGATGGATACAGAAACCTAGCAGACCAAGTCAGAAATAATCATGTCTTACACTAGAGCTGTAATATTTGAGATGACAAGAAGCAATCCAATTTTTAATATATTTTGGAATAGGACTTACAATGGATTGGATGTGGGTTTGGAGAAGCTTATGGGAAAAGCAGATTTGAGAACAAAATCAAGAATTTGCTGTTCAACTTGTTAAACCAGGTAGGAAGCCTTTTTGTATAGCTTTAACTGAGTAATAGCTATTGTTGTTCAAGGGTCAACTGTACTAGAATTGAACAAATAAGTAAATTTAATGAAGCTAATGAGAGCCAAATTTCTCACCGTTGGAGAAAAAAGTTACAATAACGGAAATCAGAAGACAAGAATGAACCTTGTGGAGTTGGACTGGAATGAGAGGTATCACTATGAATTCATAGTTTTCATATACACATACATGTAAATAAAGAGAGAGATATGTGTTACCAGTGCAGGTTAGGATTTATGCATTTATTTCCTAGCTCTATCTACTAGGAAAAAAAATATAGAAGAATCAATATTAAGAAACCTAGTACCCAAGTCTTGGTTTATAAATACCCAATAAAAGGAACAAGGGCTCTTGGCAGAAGTGGTTCATTCCAGAGCTATAATGAGCCTGGAACATCTTATTCCAGAAAATAAGTGGTCAAAACATGTTGGAGGTATGTCAAAGTGCTACAGGGGCCAGCCAAAAGGAGCATCCAATGATCAAAGCTGGAATGACTTGAGCAACAAAATAATGACAGATTGAGATAAAACTTACAGAATAAAATAAATATCCATGAATCTGCACTAATAATTGAATAAATATGTAATTGGGGCAGGGATTGGGGAGGAGGGGTGCTCTTCAACCAGGAAGAAATCTAATTAATAAGTTAAAAGGGCCCTAGCCAGTTGCTCAGTTGTTAAACCTTGGACTGAAGGGTCTCATGTTCGATTCCATTCAAGGCAGTACCTCGGTTGCAGGCTTCATCCCCAGCCCTGGACAGGGCACATGCAGAAGGCAGACCAATCAATGTGTTTCTCTCACATAGATGGTTCTCTCTTTCTCTGTCTCTCCCCCCCTCCCTTCCACTCTTTCTAAAAATCAATGGGTGATTATTAATAAAAAACAAAATATACATAAATTAGAAGGAATGAGGGAAACATAAAGTCACCATTAGGTAAACACCATAGTAATAACCACTGCAGGCCAGATACAATAAAGACGCTAAAAGTACTGGGCAAAAGTTTGAACAGAAATACGATAGTAGCATAGTCTCAAAATATTCAATAGTAACTTTCAGTAGAGAAACCTGGCAGATACCACCTTACAAAGTGATCAAGGTTAACATCATGAATAATAAACCATCTTGACATCATGCACTCCTTGATATGAGGCACTGAAATGAACACATCACTTCTGTGGCATGTTGGCAAAAAAAGAAAAAAGCATAATCTCAATCTAATCATGAAAAATCATCAGACAAATCCAAACTGAGAGATATCCTATAATAACTAGCTATTATTCATCAAAAGTGTCAAGGTCACCCTAACTGGTTTGGCTCAGTGGATAGAGCATCGGCCTGCAGACTGAACAGTCAGTCCCAGATTCGATTCCGGTCAAGGGCATGTACCTTGGTTATAGACACATCCTCAGTAGGGGGTGTGCAGGAGGCAGTTGATTGATGTTTCTAACTATCCCTCTCCCTTCCTCTCTGTGAAAAATCAATAAAATATAAGTATTTTTTAAAAGTGTCAAAGTCATGAAAACCAGAAAAGGAAGAGGAAGTGTCACAGATTAGGGGAGACTAAGGAGAGACAATAAATTCAATTGCAGGACCTTAGATCGAATCCTGGAGCAGAAAAGGATTTAAGGAAAATGGGTGAATTTCCAATAAGGTTTACAGTTTAATTAATGGTGATTTTTGTCCTGCTTCACACTTTCTTTTTTAATATTTTCTAAATTTAAAATATATTACTTTTACAATAGACAAAATGATCTGTTACCTTTTCCTTTCTATAAACTTCATTAAAAATTACATCATAAAAAGTGGTCATAAAAGAATATGTAAGTGGCAACTTTATTTACTGCTCATTTTGTTTCCCACCCACACCTGCCATAGCTCTTGCTTTTAGCATTCTCCTTAGCACAACAGTATTCATTATATGAAAAAGGCACCGACACCATGGTTACTATGTGAAAAGGACTGTGTAATCATTAGCTGTTAGTCACAGGCTCTGAAGCATTAGGGAAATAGGACTATGGGTGACATGCAAGAATCTCAAAATCATTTCGCAGACCAAAGAAAGCCAGAATGAAAAAGAGTATACATTACATGGTTCCATTTACATGAGAACAGACTAAACCAATTATGCTGAAAGAATGCTTGCAGAGGATTAACTGGAAAGAGCACAAAGGTGCTTCCTGGGATGAGATGATAGAAATGTTCTGTATCTTAATCAAAGTGATAGTTGCATGGCATGTACATTTGTCAAAACTGATCAAACTATAAATCTTATTATGCATTTTATTCTATATACATTATATGTCCTTTTAAAAGAAAGAGTTTTGATGGGGGGAAATATGTGGCACAAAGATTTCATTACGTTAAAGTAGCCAGTAATCTAAGTCATAATTACCCATCTAAAAATAAAAAAGTGAAGCTGAAACCAGTTTGGCTGTGGATAGAGCGTCGGCCTGTGGACTGAAAGATCCCAGGTTCAATTCTAGTCAAGAGCATGTACCTTGGTTGCGGGCACATCCCCAGTAGAGGGTGTGCAAGAGGCAGCAGATCAATGATTCTCTCTCATCGATGTTTCTAGCTCTCTATCCCTCTCTCTTCCTCTCTGTAAAAAATCAATAAAATATATTTTTAAAAAATAAAAAAAAGTTTTTAAAGTGAAGAATAATGGATGCTTATTAAAAAGAACCCTAAGAGCCGAAACCGGTTTGGCTCAATGGATAGAGCGTCAGCTTGGGAACTGAAAGGACCCGGGTTCGATTCTGGTCAAGGGCATATACTTTGGTTGCGGGCATATCCCCAGTAGGGGATGTGCAAGAGGCAGCTGATCGATGACTCTCTCTCATCGATGTTTCTGGCTCTCTATCTCTCTCCCTTCCTCTCTGTACAAAATCAATAAAATATATATTTAAAAATAAAATTAAAATAAAATAAAATAAAGAACCCTAAGATGTTGTTCCATGGATGAACTTTGAAGAATTATTTTAAGTGAAATAAGCCAGTCACAAAAAGACAGATCCTATATAGTAATTTCACTTATATGAAGTACCTAAAGTAGTTCAAGTCAAAGAGTCAGAAAGCAGAATGGTGGTTTTGAGCGGTTGGGGGAGGAAGGAAGATAGTAGTGTGGGAAGAAAGTTCTAGAAATAGTGTTGATGGTTGCACAATGTAAATGTACTAATGACATTAAACTAGACCTTGAAAATGGTTGAAGTGGTAAATTTTATGTTATATTTTATTGGGGGGGGAAACAAACCTCAAAAAACCCCAAAATAAAAACTCTGAAATCCATTACTCTGCTTATCTCGTTTAGGTGTAAAGACCTGTGGAGAACTGCCTTGGATGCATTCTTTGAAAAGAATTAATCATTCCTTTCTGGGTATGAGCCAGGCTCTGAACTTTTCTCTCATTTTATCTTACATCTTAGATCTACTAAGCTGTTAGGACAGAAATCAGTGATGTTTGTGTCCTTCAGAGCAATGGTCCTTAATCACTTAGGAGTTTCTGAACAGTCACTGACTACAATTCTTTAATTCTTCATACCGGTGTAATAAAGCTACTTCGTCTAGTTCATAAACTAGGTCCTCAGAGGTTTACACTTTGAGAGGAACAACAACAACAAAAAGTATGTAATTGAATTACAAGCAGAAATAGGAACTCAAGGCTTACAGGTAAGTCAGACAGACTACCAGAAGTTTCAGCTCACCTGCCTTGGAAACCCCCCTGGGCCTTGCGGCTAACAGCACACTCAGCAGACCCAGGCTGAATCCATCTGCACATACACATAATCAGGATGCACCAGTACTCCCCACAGGGCTTACCTCATGCTGGGAATGGCGTGGTAGCCCAATCGGAAGCGGAGTTTGCTGGACCCAGCAGCATCTGCAATCACCTTTTCCCCCACGGTATGCATATGTTTGAGGAGCTCAAGATGTTCTCTGGTCACAGCCTTCAGACTGGAAATTGAGGCCCATGGTAAGACCAGCCAGTGATGACGAGCCTTCGGGTATTTATCCTTAATCACCACCACCTGCTCATCTTTGTAAACCTAGCAGAGGCAAAGGAGAAGGAAACAGACATTTTCCATGTATCTTCTGTGCTATGCATCTCCATTAACTCACTTAATTCCACCACAATCTTCTGTAAAAGTTTTTAGTATCCCAATTTTGACAGATGAAAGCACAGAGACTCAGGTAAACTGAGTGTTTTATGCAAAGTCACAGTTACTAAGCAGGAAATCTAAGATTGCAACCCCACTTTAGTCTGTGTTTTAATCACCAAACTACAGAGAAGATGCACAGTACAAAGTAGTTGCTCAGGATCCGATGTGAAATCCCTCCAGGCATCAATTAAATGTTCCCTTCTCCACTCTACCACAGCAGACCATATGACATCTGCAGTGTACTCCAAGACTCTCTATCAGATCTGGCCCCTTGTCATCCCAAGACACAATTTAAGAACTCAAAGGCTCCTTCTAGGGAGATACCGGACTATTAATCCCAGGATAGGCCAGTAACCACAGTCATATTATCTGATGCTCCCTTGAAAGAGATCACAGTAAGGTTAACTCAACCTCCCTTAATAGTATGCAGAAATTTAAAAGGAACAAGGCAGAGGGGATAGTCCAGTGGTCGGCAAACTGCGCTTGCAAGCCACATGCGGCTCTTTGGCCCTGTGAGTGTGGCTCTCCCACAAAATACTATGACCTGGGCGAGTCTATTTTGAAGAAGTGGCGTTAGAAGAAGTTTAAGTTTAAAAAATTTGGCTCTCAAAAGAAATTTCAATCGTTGTACTGTAGATATTTGGCTCTGTTGACTAATGAGTTTGTCGACCAGTAGAATATTCATTTGAAGAACTTAGTTTCTCTCCAAAGGATTTCAGGTGCTCACTTATTGGCAATGAGAAAAGCGACTTGTCTCACAAATAGCCCAATAAAACAAATTTCATTCAGAAACACTGATTGCCTTTGATTTCATTTGTAGTTATGACCTCTGATGATTATTTCAATGCCAAAATTTTATTCTGACCTGCATTTTAGGATCCTGCATAGAAATCTTCAAGCCTTGGCTCCAGTGGCCCAATGATTCCTAAAACAATAAAGAACAATGAAAATCTCAAATGCCAATAGTTAAATTTGGTATTAGTTCACATTGAATGTCAGCAAAGTCCAACCAAGCTTGGAAATAAAGTTAATTTTTTAAGAATTAAACTATATCCCCTTTATATCAAACTTATGCCTTTGTAATCATAAGCCATCCCCATTTTCTCCCTATATCCAGAGGCTAGAAAAGCCAGAGTGTGAACCACATCTTTTGTCCTCTCCCACTCCATTTAAGCCTGACTAGGTTTCCACTCTGACATCAGGATGTGAATCACATGATCTATGAAAAGTGTTTCAAAGCTATCCTCCTAGAAATATAAATGACTGACACATTTTAGAAGCTCAGTGTTAAGTACGTTCAACTGGCTTACCTCAGGAATTCAAGAGAAAAGCACATAAAGGGAAATTCACCCAAGTAACTGGTGACTCTTTCATCTTGGTTAATAACCCCTATCATGGTTAATAACCTCTCCTGTGTGCCTGACTTTAGAGTGTACAAAACAATTAAGCCGTCATTATATCTCATTTAATCTCCACATCATCTTATCAAGCAAACCACCCTCACCTTTTTGGCAGATTCATTTGTCCCCTTGTTTGTGGGCACAAAGCACTGGCTAGGGTCACTCCAAGGTACCAGTCCTGTACTGGGCTCAGCTTCCTGGGCAGCATCCCTTTCTAAGGAATCGCTGCTGCCTGACCTCTTTCTCTTCCTGTGTGTTTCCAGGCCAGGGCTCTTTGTCTCTTCCTCGAATTCTACAATATATGGATAAAGTTCATTCACAATGTGGAGAACCTGGCCAGGCTGCAGCTTCACCTCTTGGTCCTTCCCAATTATGACTGAGTCAATGCTGCTGGGATTAACCCCTACCTATGAAATAATCAGAAAGTAATTACAAAAAAAGCAACAATTCCATCACTAATATAGCCACTATCATGTTAACCACTTACTGTGTGCCAGGAACTATGCTTAATGTTCACTTATATTACTCCATCACTTCCACACATGACAGAGAAGACTTACTGGCTGGCACTGACACCCAAATGTCAATAGCCTAAGAAAATCATCAAGTATAAAATGGAAATTTAAGTCACAAACAGACATACCTGCTTTACCTTGACATATCCTTTGTTACAGTCTGCCTTCAACCGCACTGAAAAAGATTGGAAAAAGTCAAACCCAAATACCATGAAGAACCAGGCACTTGCTCCTATTCTCTCTACAGGACAATGAAGCCTCAAGAAGGCAACTTGACAAGGGTTTCCTCAAATGAGCAAAACTGCCCATTTTACAGGTGACTGGGGCTCCAAATCCTTCCATAAAATGTCCAACAGGTCATCATAAATTAAAATTTTATTTTCACCACTCAGAGACTATTAGAATGATGGGACTGTTTATTCTCTGAAATTTACAGAATCAAACACTTGAAAAGTCCAATGGTGTACATACTCCCTTAGCTACTGCTAATATCCCTAAGAGGCAGCTTCCCTGAGTCTCCAGTCTTCCTCTTCCAGAGCCCTTGGCCCGCCTGGGACCACAGTCAGGGAAGGAGACCTGCTTCTCTTACAAGCTCTTCACTCAAGGTTAGATCAGGCTTCCGCTATTATATAAAACCATCAGATGCCTTTAACAGAGAAAGGGGCAAATTATACATTCCGGAAAAACAGAAGTTCAGCTGGCCTTGGGTAGAAGGAGTGGAGAGAATAGTCTAGAAAGAGAAACAATCAGAACAATCTGAGCATGTGTGGGAAGAACATTTTTCACTCATGTTCAGGAAAGTGAGATAAGGAACAAAGAAAAGAGACACCACAGCTGATCTCCAGCGAGGACAGGCAGAGGACAGGCGGACACCCATCACTGCCATCGTGACCAGAGGCACAGAGAGTGAGAAGCAGCGTCTGCCTATGTATCTGGGGCTTAGCCAGGTCAAGTATGGCTTTTTTTCACCCATTTAGATTAACTCATGTGGCAAAACCAATAATCCGTGCTGCAGACACCACACCTCAGGAAACCTTGCTATGGGGAACTGCAGGTGGGAGGCCTGGTAGCAGTGAGCATGTCCCAAAGTTTATGGGCAAAAAAATGAGCTATACGTTAAGGCTTTTCCAAAGGACTTTCATTTCATTAAATTCCAGGGATGACACTCAAGAGCTAAATACTATCACCTTATAAAGATACCACCCTCTTGGAAAGATAGAGGTCAGGAGGTAGATGAGGGGAGATTAACTGGAAAACTTTTATGTATATATGCATAGCCCAGGAACACAGACAATGGTGTGGTGAAGGCCTGGGAGGGGTGGGTGCCAGGTAGAGGGGGCCAATGAGGGGAAAAAACAAAGGAGACATTCATAATACTTTCAACAATAAAGATAAATTTTTAAAATAAATAAAAATACGACCCTCTACATGAGGCAATATGTAAAGGATGAAACCATCCCATTACTTCTCAGACACGGTTTCAGCCTAAAGGCCCCAGAATTCAACTGTCTTACTTCCCAACTCGGTCCCTTCCTAGACAAAGTAGGGTTCAGGACTCCACCACCAACAGTAACAGGAAGGACCAGCCTGTTCCCAACACTGAATAGTAACTGCTTCCAGAGGATGGACTCAGGAGTGAACGGGCCCGGTGTTGGCTAAGAGAGCCCTGTTCCTGAGTTTTGTTTATGGCAGACCAAAGGTTTTCCATCATGACCACCCAGAAAATGCGCACCTTTGGTTAGCACTACTCTAAGGAACCCAGAAGGTACTCTCCACAGTCTTGTGTCCAGTTACCTTGCTGTCGAGAACATTTCTTATCAGTGATCTTGGTCTCTGGGCTACGCCCAACCAGGACTGCTTCCAAATGTGGAAGTTTGATTCGCTGTTGCCGGTTGTCTTGTCTCACCAACCAGCACACCCGCATCATTACTCTGAGAGACAAAACAGAAGAGAATCATGGGAATACTAGCACAGGTCCTCCAGGGCCACACCCCAGATACCACACACGCCACATACCATCTGTTCATCTTGAAGCAAGTGACTTCACCTCCCTAGTCTCAACTTCCTCACATGTAAAATATGATAATGACAGGATTCATAAGGTTGTTGTGAGAATTAACTAAGAAAACATGGGTAAAGTATTCACCTCTGTGCCTGAATCATGCCAAGCAATCAAATTTCTTATATTTATTGATATAGTTTATGTGCTAGGTATTAGGCTACGGGTTGAGGATCAAAGAATGATTAAACATTGTCCCTATTCTTCTGGGGCTTGGAATACAATGGGACAGATAGACTCATGTACCAATTATTAAAATGCAACGTGATGAGCATGTAAAACGGAAGTAACCAAATACGGCATTAGCTCAGGCAAAGGAATGACTGACTCTTGCAGAGAGTATCAAAAAAGATTTGTGAAAAGGGATATTTATAATGGGTTTTAAAGGACTGAAAAGGAGTATGCCTGACAGAAAACTAAGGACATAAGAAGAGAGAAGATATTCTTGTCGATAGGCACTTTTTGTGTATTTGAAGGTTTCTCTTCTTTAGTTGTCAGAACGTACTGTTAGAATGATATTTTGCTGCCATATGCCAGAAGACTGTCATAATGAATATGCAAACATGCAATTTCCAAAGTATGACTGTAGCACCTTTGTGCAATACACAGCTTGCACAATAGTGGAGGTGCTGGCATTCTTTTGAAAAACCCTTAAGGCCATGTAAAGGTTCAGCAGAAGAGAGAGAGAGACAAGAAATTCTGCCCGAGCAAAGACAGAACAAAGGGGATGGAGAGGAAGAACAGCCAGAAGAAATCATGAAGGTAGACTGAATTACTGACTGCATTTGGGGAATGACAAAGAAGGAAAGGGAGATAGCCAGGATTCCTAATTTGAAAATACCCATTAACCAAAAGGAAGAATATATAAAGAGACATAATTTGGGGGTAAATGTAGGTAAAGAAGAGATGATTTCAGATTAAAACACTAGATTTAGGAATTGAGCCTAAAATGAGTCCTATATAAAAACCTCGTTAATTAGGTGAAAGGGAGCAGCCTAACTGAGAAGTGGAGAAAGAGCCTGGCTGGTGTGGCTCAGTGGTTGAGCATCAACATATGAACCAGGTCAGTTCAATTCCTGGTCAGAGCACAAGCCCAGGTTTTGGGTTCAATCCCCAGTAGGAAGGATGCATGAGGCATACCAAGGATTCTCTCTCATCATTGATGTTTCTATCTCTCTCTACCTTCCTCTCTGAGATCAATAAAAAGATATCAAAAAAAAAAGAAGAAGAAGTAAAGAAAGAAATCGGGGAGAAGACTCCAACAAAAGTGAACAGCAAAGACAAGTGCATGAAGGAACAGCACTGTGCACATGCAGAAGCAGTTCAGTGTCGCTGCAACCCAAAGTATGAGGCAGAGAAGAGGCTGGAGATTCAAGCAGGTCCAAATGAAGCAGAGCCCTGGATGACTGGCTGAGAAGCTCGAATTTTAGAAGTTCCAATGAATTTTGCAATTCAGTAAACAATAAACACGTGCTGAATGAATGAGCAAACAGATGAAAGACAGAAAGCTCTTTAAAGATTATTAAGCAGGACTTTGACACACATTTGTTTTTCAAAGATCATTTGTGGGAGGAGGTAGTAGTGTGAAGAGATATGTGGGGAACAGAACTGGATTTGGGGAAACCAGTTAGAGATGAGGTCTGGAGTAGGACAATGGAGAGACAAAATAGAGAGCACAGACTTGAGAAACATTTAAGGGGTAAAATCATTAGGATTTAGTGATGGGTGTGATAAAGTAACTTCAGGGAAGATGCTGAGTTCAGTTTTGGGCCTTTGAATTTGAACTGCCTATGGCAGAGCTGTCCGGCAGAGTAGTCAGAGGTGAGGGTGAAACTCAAAAAAGGGTCTAATATGACAACTTCTATTTGAAACCACGTAGGGAGTTAAAACCAAGCCAGGTGATGTGCTCATTCAGGCATGATGTACAGAATGAAAAGAACAGTCTGGACAGAATGGCTCAGTGGTTGAGTCATGGTTCGATTCCTGGTCAGGGCACATGCCTAGGTTGAGGGCTCAATCCCCAGGAGAGAGGGGGCATTAGGCAGCCGATCAATGATTTTCTCTCATCATTGATGTTTCTCTCTCTCTCTAAAATCAATAAAAATATATTTTAAAAAAAAGTACAGTGGACCCAAGTGACAAGCATTGGGAACACCGTTTTAGGAGAGGAGGAAAGACTATCTGCAGGAGAAATGACTGGTGAGAGAGGAACATCTAGAATATAAGCTCCTTAAGGATATAGCACATTGTCTTGCTCATCACAATATCATAATAAATGTTCACTGAATAAATCAGCTGAGTGTGTTATCCTGGAAAGCAAAGAAGAAAGTAAGCCCTAGTCAGTTTGGCTCAGTGGACAGACCATCAACCTGTGAACTGAAGGATCCCAGGCTCGATTCCAGTCAAGGACAAGTACCTATGTTACAAGCTCAATCCCTGGCTCTGGTCAGGTAGCACGTGGGAGGCAAACAATCAATGGGTCTCTCTTACATCAAGGTTTCTCTACCCCCCCCCCACCCCTCCCACCCCCCCACCCCCACTTCCCTTCCACTCTCTCTAAGAAAAATCAATGAAAAAATATCCTCGGGTGACAATTAACAAAAATAAAAAAGGGAGTGAGAGGCATCAAGTCTCAAAAGCAGCAAGGGAATCAAGTGATGATTTTTAAATGACTATTTGGTTTGAGGAACAATCACTGGTGACCTTAGGGTAAGATTTCAGGGGAATAATAGGTAAGAAAGCAGATTGCAGAAGGAAATGGGAGTTGAGAAAATGGGGACAGAATTTAGAATACCCTTTAAAACAGTTTGGATAGGAAGGGGGAAGTCACTGGATGACGCTAAAGGAAGATGATCACCAAGAACTTTTTTTCTTTCTGGCTTGCACAGTGGAAATGGGGATAAGAGATGACCAGGGATCTGAGAAACCTGACTTTGTTTATACATGACTGGGACAGGGGCAGAAAAAAACAAATGAAAATTAGGTCTCATAGGTGAGAGTATAAAATATCAGAGACACAGGTAAAGAGATTTGCTTTAATCAGAGGATACAGCTCTTCCTCATCCTCTGAGACTTAAGATCAAGATGAGTATAAATCTGCCAAAACCAGTTTGGCTCAGTGGTAGAGTGTCGATCTGCAGACTGAAAGGTCCCAGGTTCGATTCTGGTCAAGGACATGTACCTTGGTTGTGAGCACATCCCCAGTGGGGAGTGTGCAGGAGGCAGCTGGTCGATGTTTCTCTCTCTTCAACGTTTCTGGCTCTCTCTCTCTCCCTTCCTCTCTGTAAAAAATCAACTATATATATTATTTTATTTATTTATTTATTTTTTAAAGATCAGTATAAATCTAAATGGCTTTGTAAATGGGCAAGCAAAAGAAGAATTTAAGGAAAGGCACCTCTGGTGACCTAAATTTTCCCCATAAAATAGTAGATAACAGAGTGAGGTGTTCAGGCATTTGACGAGCAGCTGAGTAAAATCAATATAAAATAGTGGATAACGGGATAACGTCCAGGCCTCTAAAGTCCAAATGCTTGAGTTCAAATCGTGGTTCCACAACCTACTCACTGTGTGACTTGAGACCAGTTATTTGACCTTTATTTCTTCAGCTATAAAACAATAACTGCTCAACACTACAAGGGCTAAATGAGTGAGTAAAGATCAGTGTCTGGCAAAAAGTAAGCATTATCACTCTTGTTGATAGTACAGGTAGGATGAAAGCAGGAGCTCAAGACCATCCCTGATGGTGCAACTAACATGAAAGGGCACAAATCTGTATGGTCTCCCCCACACGGAGAGCCCTGTCCCAAGTGTTCTAACGATCCCCAATTTGTAACCTGGGCAACATTGTTCCGAATGGAAATTGTACCCCGGCTCTGAACGGCTACCACTGGTCTGCGGGGCAGCAGGCTTGCTTCTTCTGGCCTTCCCCTAAGGCCTGCTGAGGACGCTGGGAGAGGCCCTCAAGTTTCTCTCAGGGAGCGTTTCTCAAGGGAACAATGTCCTACCTGACAACCCCGCGGTCGCACAGTGCCCACGCTCAACTATTTTCTCGCTTGTGTTGCGACCAAGCTACTACCCTGTTTCCCCGAAAATAAGACAGTGTCTTATATTAATTTTTTTCTCCCAAAGTTGCGCTAGGTCTTATTTTCAGGGGATGTCTTTATCTTTCCATGCGCTAGGTCTTATTTTCGGAGGATGTGTTATTTTCGGGGAAGCACAGTAGGTACGGGGGTCAGGGGCTCGCCGCGAAGCTGGGCAGAGACCGGGGCAGGGACCGAGGTGAGCGCCGCCAAACACGGCCCACGGGGGCCAGAGGGAGTCCGGAGCCCGGAAGCACGAGGGAGGAGCAACGCCTGCCGGGAAAGAAGTCGTGAGAGCGCTTCTCAAGGCACATCACTCAAAAACCGCGGCGAGCTCGACAAAAGGCCCGCGCCCACGGCTTCCATCACGGCCAGCACAGGAGGTAGGCCCAAGCCGCCTTACCTCCAACAGCCGAGGGGGTAAACTTCGCGTTACTCCTTTGCCGCACCACTTCCGGCGCTGAGGGATGACGTCTCCGAACTGGCGGGCAACGTCGTGCGTCACCAGCCCGGTCATAGGATTGATTGGCTGACGTCTCCCCTAAGGGCCAGGAAGTAAACGCCCGCCCTCATTGGTCCCTCAGTGGGGCGGGGTCCCAGTGTGGTTGCCTGGAGCTCCTCTCCACCGGAGCGCCGCTCCCCGGTGTCTCTGAGTCTGGAGACTTGGGGCTGCTATCCCTGTGGCCGTTTCTAGGCAGCGTGCGCCTCTTGACACTCCCTTCATAAGGAGAAACTCACAACCTTCACTAGGGCTAAATATTCAAATAAAATGTTTACAGTTTTCATGAGA